TGGGTCAGCAGCCTTGTTCCTGGAATTCTCTATGAGAGTTACAGTGAAGAAAATTACTCTCCGGTCTATGTTACACATGCATAAAACTTCAAATATTTATTACCAAAGGCAAGCCCACTTCTACAGAAAAAAGAAAGAGCAAGGACTGGTTAACATGCTAAAAGCAGGTACAATGTATTTACTTTCCTTTAAGCACCTTTTCCTTGCAGAAAAACCAACTTGAAAGCGCAGTTGGAAAAATTCTGTTCTTTCTTTTGATGCTATCTTTGGCATCTTCTGATGCCATCTTTGGCACAGAGGTGGGGTGGGGTGGGATTGAGAAGGAAGGCAAGATAGTTAGAGAAATAATTATATATGGTTGTGATCACACAATGTATTTGCCAATAAGATTAGGCAAATAGCTGAAAACTTATTTTGGCAAAGGGAAGAAAGGAGCCTCCGATAAGAACCTTCTTGTTGATATGGCCGTCCTCACTCAGTCTCTCATGAAAAAGGGGTCTATTTACTTACTCTACAGTTATTTCCCCAGCACACTTTCATGTCTTTACTTTTGATTTCAACAAGGTTTTTCACTTTCCTCAAAAAAAAAAAAAAATTAACAAAGAGATGCCTCACCAGAAGACAAGCAGTTCAACAGAAGAGAGGGAAAAAAATGGCATTTAATCACGAAAAAGCAGCCAGATGCCTTAAAAAGCACATTTTTTTGTTTTCTTCATGAAATTTCTTTGAAAAGCCCTCTAAATACCTTTCATCTATTCTTCCCCTATGCCTTGACTTTTTGTCTGTCCTACCATTCAGAAGACACAGTCACAGAATGAAAATCAATTGAAGACATCCTCTTCCGGTTCCACTCAAGTGCTTACTATTTTTCAAATACTAGCCATTAAAAACACTTACCAGAGCTCTGCCTGATGAGTAAGTAGAGAAATGACATTTTCCATTTACTTTCCATTATGGTTCACCATGCACATGGGTCTCCTGGAAGGACAGTGCTGGGGAGCATTTTGTGGCCCCTGCCCTCCCCTGATTCGGCAGGAGCAGGGATGCAACAACTACATTCATCTAATTTACATTTATTCAGAGCCACGCTCGAAGAAGGAGAGAGAATCTACAGGCATCTGGCAACTAGATCGGAACGAACTTATGAACACCGGCAGGACAACTACTGACATAAGGTGACTGACACCTTATACTAAGTCCTGTTGATGTTGACAGTACCTGCCTTGGGTTTCTGTCGAAGTTCACTAGACAAGGCGGTGACAACAGCTGCGGAAGAAGGAATACTTTTAAAACCTGCATGTACTGAATGCCGCTGCTAAGCAAAGAAAAAGTGAAATCAACTCTTTTGGAAAAAAGAATTTTATGTGTGAAGAGGAGGCAGGAGGTGCTGCGGGCATGCACCACTTCGCTGGAGAGAGTTTCACAAATGCCATCAGCCTTTACTACATGAAATCTTCCCAGTATAAATCTTTACACCTCTCCATTCACTGTCTGATGAACTGCAAAGACATGCTCAAACGGATGAAACACTTGAATGAAGTGAAAGCCGGGAATGATATAGTATGTACTGCAGCGACATGAACAAAACAAAAATCAAACACCACTAACTTCCTGCTTATTCCAGACATACATAAAGCCTCAAATTAGCTCCTTTAAAAAACATACACACGGCATTTGCTTGGTATATTATAGCTTGACAAGTAGATATGTTATAATAGGTGAATATTAGTTTCAAAGAAAAAGAGTCATGCCCATTTTATAGGTCAGTCAAGTCATGCTTTAACCTCCAAAGGCATAGCCGAGAAAAACTCCCTTTTAGAATGAAAGCAAGTGACACACTCCAGATTATTGCAGACTTGGTCCTGGGATACCACGTGCTTTGTTTATAGCTAATTACACAGGCTCAGTACTAAGTTTTACCTCTAGACAAAATTTGCTACTCATAGAAAACTTCCAAGTGAATGAGACCAGCATAGGTTTTTCTTAGGTAATTCTATTTTCATCATTTTCTTTTACCTGTAATTCAGGCAAGAGGAAAAGATGGAGCTCATTCTCAATATAAATAACAAAATGACTTTCCTGCTATAGATTTTACTTTCCTCTACAACAAAACCAGGACTTATTTCTGGGGCACAGAGTACTGAATGTCCCTGCAAGGAAGACAGTTTAACAACTAAGGGCACTCAATTTTAAGTTGTGGAAAATGAGCTGCTGTGTAGCCAAAGTACTTAAAAGATCAAAATATCTGTGACTTGAGAGCTGCCTTGCTTTGGAGTTCTCTGGCATCTTAAAGGTACTGGTAAGCCATTCTTCAGTTGCCAACGGGTGAAAGGAGAACTTGCCACACAGCGCATTTTCTCTGCCAGGTCCCAAGCTGTTCCAACTTTCTGTGATAGAGCTAAAGTTGGCTTCATTGACAGTTACAGCTGGATAATAGGAATCAGGTGTCCCTTTTGAACAACAAGATAGGAGGAGAGAAGTTATTGAAAACAGCTCTCTCTCTCTCTCTCTCTCTCTCTCAAGATACTCCAAATCTTTTAATCTTAAAGGTCTGGGGCAAACTAAAAATTTTCACACTGGATCATGGCATTTTTCTTCAAGTCATAAAAATGTATCACTTGGTTATAGCCATGGCTAACAAAATATAATATTATTTAAGAGTATACTACTGGGAAAAAAAAACTATTGAAAAAGTGGCTTCTTGCTAAGTGGAAGCACTAATTCTGAGCAACACTCATTTGCAGTGGGGACAGTCTTTGACTGTTCCTCTGGATTCATGACACCGATTTCACTGTGTGTGGAAACTCTGCCACTGGAGCTGAAGCTTGAACATAGAATGAAAATTGTACGAAAAATACATCGTATCATAGGAACCTGGTATCACGGGACAATGCGAGGCACCGAGGCCTGGGGTCAAGAAGCTAAGTGTGCAGTTGGCTTGCTGTTTTCGACAGCCCGTGCAGCTTCGGCCATGCTGCTGTATCTGTCTGAATTTTTTTTTTTTTTTTGAGACAGGGTCTCACTCTGTCCCCCAGGCTGGAGTACAATGGCATAATCTTGGCTCACTGCAGCCTCAACCTCCCCAGGCTCAGGTAGTCCTCCCACCTAATCCTCCTGAGTGGCTAAGAGTACAGGTGTGCACCACCACACTTGACTAATTTTTGTATTTTTGGAGGGGTACATATGGGGTTTTGCCATGTTGCCCAGGCTGGTCAAACTCCTGGGCTCTAGCGATCTGCCCGCACTGGCCTCCCAAAATGCTGGGATTACAGGCCTGCACCATCATGCCCAGCCCATCTGACTTCATTTTAACAATGAGGAAACTCAGGGGATTGACTTCTAAAGGTTCTACTCTAAACTATACTTCTGTCTTTTCCATTTTTAATGAAAGAAGGTGTAGGTTTAACAAAAACAGAAACTCAGACTCTTCTTTTCCTTAGCGCAGTTCTGACAGGCACAGAATGTACAGGCACACAGCCCAGTTGAAAGAGCTGCCGTGCAACTGTGAATTGTTAGCAGAGAAAGAGAACAGGTTTCATCTGGGCCAAGATGGGACTGGAGAAAGTCCCATCTAGTTTAACAGGCCAAAGTTTCCACTGATTCTCAGAGACCCCTAAAGAAGGTCAGGTCTGTGCATGCAGCATCATCTCCAGCTTGGCTGTTCCTCTGCTGAGCTGGCTGAGTCCTATCCCTTTTCTTGCAGGACACACTGGACAGGTGGCACTGCTCTCTTTCTTATACTCCAACAGCAGCCTCCTGACAACAGCCTTAGCCAGTATTTAATGTTCTCCTTCTTCTGTTTCTTTCAGGTTTTGCTCTCACTGTCCCTTTACAGTATAGCAGAAACAATATGAGTGATGGACTCACAGAAACATGGGTTCTAATCCTAGCTCTTCCACTTACTAGTAGAGTAACTCTGGAGAAGTTACCTAACTACAATGGGTCTCAGTCTCCCCAACTGTAAAATGGGAGTAAGATTAGCTACCTCGCAGGAATTCTTAGGGAGAGCAAATGAGATTGTACATAAATCCCTCAGACTCTAGAGTAGGTGCCTGTTCTTAATTTCTTTCTTTCCCACTTAACTGTTCTTTTGTTTTTTTTTTCTTGAGACAGAGTCTCGCTCTGCTGCCCAGACTGGAGTGCAGTGGCATAATCTTGGCTAACTGCAACCTCCACCTCCTGGGTTCAAGCAATTCTCCTGCCTCAGCCTTCTGAGGAGCTGGGATTACAGGCACTCACGACCATGCCCGGCTAATTTTTATATTTTTAGTAGAGATGGGGTTTCACCATGTTGGCCAAGGTGGTCTTGAACTCCTGACCTCAAGTGATCCACCTGCCCAGGCCTCCCAAAGTGCTGGGATTACAGGCATGAGCCATTGCGCCCAGCCTCACTGTTCCTTTCTTGAGTCACACCATTCCCTACCCAAGCACTGCCTTTCCCAGCTGCACACTTCACATCTCCTCATCAGGTCCACCACTTTCTCCTCATCCCCTCATGATCAAATCTCAGCCAGCCTCCGAAGATCAACTCAAAGATCACTTCTCCCAGGAAGTGCCCCTTGAGACCTTTTTCCTTATCTGACATTCCAAAGAGCTTGGCCTATGCGATCTGTATCCTGGGACCAGTTTCTGTACCACCTTATAATTATTTATCTGTCTTTTCTTGCCTATGAGGCTGGATCTGCTACATCCAGCCCAGCGCTGTACCTGAGTGCTCAGCAGACATTTGTTCAGCGAACAAACGTGGCAGCACAGGATCAAAAGGCAGCTTCTTACGTGCTTGCTTTAATGAACACAAAGCTTTAGCTGCTGCTCTAAATGAAAACATCCACCCAAGAAGACAGCGGCCAGAGTCAATGTGAGAGGCGCTTGTGGGGTGAGAAAAGCATCTGCTTTCTGCAGGAGCTGAAAAGTTATGTGAGAAAAGCAGCCCAGGGGAAAAGCGGCAGAAGCCTGGGCACAGGACAGCAGCTGAGCCCCAGCCTAGACACAGTGCCAACCTGCAGAGATGGAGACCGTCCTGTGCGTCGAATCAGACTTTTGGGGTAAAAGAAATTGGATGGAGAACACCGAATGTTTGGCGGCTGCCGTGAAACATGAGAAAAGGGAAGAATGAACACAGAAATAGCCTCAATTCAGAAATAGTATTTTAAGAAAAACAACCTCAGGGAAAACTAACTTGATAGTAAACATCAAGTGAGATTCTTTCACGGGTGTACATGCGGATTTTTTGGGTCAATTTTTGGGCCCATGTTTAAAAGCATATTAACTGGTCTTCAAGTTACAGTATCCTTATCTAAGCTCCAACCCCCTTCAATTCCTCTCCATTTATTTTGGCTTAGACATTCTTATAATATATAAAGGATAAGAAGCCAGTGAAGACAATTGAGAGACATTCTTGAGAATCTGTTGTAACAAATGTCCCATTAATTCTTAAATATCAAAAATGTGGATTACTCAGTGGGGTTGCTGAAAGATTCTTAAAACATTTTCATTTTGCTATGGAAACTGCACTAATGTGACGTGGTGAAAGGCCTGGAAATCTTGGCTCAAGATTTGTGATGTGCAGACACACCCTTAAGAGCGCACAAGACGTATTTCTCTGTTCAAAACCTAGTCCCTTTAAGCGCCCCCAACATCAGTGTGAACCCCGGCTCTGGGCACGTGGAAGCTGCTGTTTCACTTCTGGGCTTTCCAAAGACAGTGACCCAGAGCACTGTCCTGACCTCCCAAGTAGTGAATGCCGGGTTTAGAAGTAGAGCTTTAGAATTCTCTGGAAGGCTTATTAAAGGAAGAAAACAATAGCTCCTCTTGGCCAGAATGGGTGGAAGTATTTCACTGGTTGCTTTCATAAGCTTATCCATCATAAGAGTTTTCCATCAAGATGTAATCAGAGTGTTGTTTTAAAATCATTTGAGTCACATGATCTGCAAACTCAAGTGATCCTGATACAGAAAAGACCCACGTTCCACTCAGTCTGGCCTCATTAGCATTCCTCTCTTCATCTCCCAAAAGACTGCATCAGAGATGAAGTAAAAATGATTATTAAAAAACCTAAAGGCAACACTAGAGAGAGACTACAAACTACGATAGCTACTTGGGAGGTTTCTGGGCAGCATCTCCAAGCTATGCTATGAACTTTTCACTCTTATGATAAAAGTCACAACAAGGACTATCATTCACGTTCTCATATTTTATAAAGGTAACTCAGTTCCAAAGCATTCATAGTTTCTCAAAAATCCCAGAGTCTAGAGCCCACAAACCAGGCGACTATGCCAGCACGTGACTGTCCAGCCGATGGGCTTCAGGAGCCTGTGTGTCAGAAACAGAGAGTAAAACCACCCTAAGATTGGTGGCCAAATTCCTCTTTGGCTGTTCTTACCTTTATTCAATTATTCAGAGAAAAAGTGGTTGTATTTTTTTCCCTCCACTTAAGTATGTTCACAATAATTGTGCATTCTAAAAGCACTGCTTTTGTTCAGTCACAGGGAAGGGACAAGTTCCTGAAATATCCAAATGGTAAAATGTCTCCATCTGATTGATGGATGTGAGATGAGGAGGAAAAGAAAAAACAAAAAACAAAGGAAAAAGATCTCCTCTGTATACGTGTGGCTCATTGAAGAGAATAAAGCAGACACGTGAGGAAAATAACAGCTGCATTTCCCAAGGCGACAGGCAAAGGGATATGAAAAAAGACAGAGCAAATGGGTCTCACTGATAATCACTGCTCCAAAGCCGAGTCACCCCTTCACAAGTCACATATCAGTGACTAGAGCCCATCGGTAAACCAGCTGTGCTGCCGCTGGGGCCACATACATCGCTTCTGATGCCTGCTAATGGCAGAAGAGATTATACTATGCACAAGAGTCTGGCCTCCAAAATAAATCCAGGCCATTCTTTTCCCTGAGGCGGTAAATAGGATGAAGTCAAACCCCAGTTTTTCCCTAGGTATCACTAAGTTAGGTTAACCTGAGCACTGGGATTCCTTCAGTCTCATTATTGCACTGAAAAATACTAGCCCACGTGAAAAATGGGCATCTGAATACGACAGAGATTATGATCATGGTTTTATGACTGTGCACAGCTCTTTGCTTCTGAAACATAAAATATTGCCATCTGGAGGTGTTCTTGTTCTGAGAATTAACTAATTTACCTATCTTGGTTCATCATTATTTTCCCCAAAGGTTTTATCTGACAGGGCATCAGCTTTTAAAGTCTCTTCTGGTGAATTTGGATGCAGTAAAAGGAGAGGTCAGTAAAATTAAGTAATGGATGTAGAGCTGGGGTCGGAGTCGTGCATTATAGATTCAGTACCGAAGAAGCCTGGTGAGGTCATCTGTATGGTCTGACTTTTCCCTTGAATGCTTTTCTAAGAAGCTGACTAGCGAGGCCAAGTCTTACTTTGTTTAACACAAGCATTTAAAACAAAACCCACAATACATTTAAGGTAAGAGGGCACCCCCTTCCCTAGCCAAATGGCCTTTGAACTTAGTTATTAAGAAAAAAAGTCAGTAAAAAGTCATTTTAGTCTTGGGGCTAAAAACCCTAGTCCCAAGAATTAGTGACCATGAGCATGGGGCCTACAAATGCACCTGGCTTCACGTTCTCATTGTTCCCTTACCCGCAGCTTTTCCTCAATCTTCGTAGATTGCTTACAGTCGGGATGCCAAACAGTGGAACCTGAGGAGAGAGAATGGCAAGATACAAAGTCCTCTTAGAGCACTTCTGAGAAAGGCTCCTAGCCGTCTTTCCCCATCACGGGAAGGTGTTATTGCTTCATGCCCAAGTGAATCATAACAGAAAAATCAGACATGTCCAAAGTCTACGTGAGTTTTCCAGATCTAGCCCAAGCTTGTTGGATAAAGGTCATAATTCTAGACAGCAGAGACCACTAACTGGGCAAGAGTCTGTTGATGCAAGACATATTTAGTGCTTAATCATGTCTTATTATTTTTAAACCATATTATCATCCTTTAAAAGGAATGCCTGAGTGCTTACTACAAGCTGCATTCAATTTAAAAAAATAATAGCCATTGTTTATATAACATCAAAACAACCAAGGAGGTTGAGGGGAATACAGTGAACCAGAGAGTCTATATCCAGAAGCAAAACTTACTGAATTTTTCATTGATTCAATTATACATAGTCACCTACACAGAAATGAGAAACTAAACAACTAATAGAAAGGGTGAAAGTTACATTAGAAATCCAAAAATGTCCTTTGGCCTTCAACCTTTTAAGTAATTTTCTAAAAAGTCTTTGTTTTTAAACTAGTAAAGTAACTATTTAGGTGGTGTTTTCTGTTCCTGGGTCAATAGCCTCACTTGCTCAGATTATGAAGCACTTTTACACATGGTACCAGCATCACAGAATTAAGCAAAACACTTATCTCCAATAGCGGCTCTTATTTTGTGAGAATCCAATGCCTGCTCATATGATTTTATATGACTAGATACCTAAAAAACATCATTTTTTTTTTTTTTGAGACGGAGTTTCGCGCTTGTTACCCAGGCTGGAGTGCAATGGCGCGATCTCGGCTCACTGCAACCTCCGCCTCCTGGGTTCAGGCAATTCTCCTGCCTCAGCCTCCTGAGTAGCTGGGATTACAGGCACGCGCCACCATGCCCAGCTAATTTTTGTATATTTTTTTTAGTAGAGACGGGGTTTCACCATGTTGACCAGGATGGTCTCGATCTCTTGACCTTGTGATCCACCCGCCTCGGCCTCCCAAAGTGCTGGGATTACAGGCTTGAGCCACCGCGCCCGGCCCAAAATATCATTTATATGATTATGGGTAAGGCTGATACGTCTATGTAAGGACATGTTCAAGTGTGGGGATGGACAGAACTTAAATGAGCAGTTCAGAAACTAAAGTTACTATGTTGAAAGCATAAGTTACAAAAATAAGATTCACAGTATGAATATCAGTTTCCACATTTCATGATTTAAATCTTTACCACTTTTTTCTTTTTTTTTTTTTGAGACAGCATCTCACTCTGTCTCCCAGGTTGGAGTGCAAGTGGCACAATTTGGGCTCACTGCAACCACTGCTTCCCAGGTTCAAGCAATTCCCCTGTCTTAGCCTCCTGAGTAGCTAAGACTACAGGCATGCACCACCATGCCCAGCTGATTTTTGTATTTTTAGTAGAGATGGGGTTTTGCCATGTTGGGCAGGCTGGTCTCAACTCCTGACCTCAAGTGATCCACCCGCCTCGGCCTCCCAAAGTGTTGAGATTACAGGCATGGGCCACTAATTTAGTGTGTGCTCTGCTAAAATATTTATCTCTTTAAGCAACAAGCTGGGCATACTTGAAACGTTACCAAATTAAAATAACTCCTGAGTTACTTCACACCACCTTAGTTATTTCACTAAAATAATATTAAATTAATGGCAAGAAAAAAATACATTTTATATCAGAATAATACTTTAATCCTTACTTAACAATCATTATATCCATCTTCTTAACCTAGGGCCAAAACAGACAAACAAAAAATCAAACAAGCAAAAAGCAGGCAGACGTATAGGTCCCTTCAGCACTGACTCTGGCTCAAAGGCTGGCTACAAAGCACAGGAAATCCTCTGAATGCAGAGGGCCCAGGGGTCAGGCCCAGGAGAAGCATTCACTGTGAAGGTTCTGCTGAGCAGGAGTCACTGGCCAGGATACTGGGTCTCCGCACAATGGCACCATTGTTCTCCAGAGATCAGACCCACAAGGAATGTGACTCGGACACAACATCAGATGTTAAAGAAGATGAAACTGCTCTTTCTTTAAAGATGTGCCAAGTGGGCAGGCAAAGACTACGGAAGCACAGCTCCAGGTTTAGAGCAATCCCTGGAATTCCAAATGCAGCCTTAACAGACAGCCATGTCTTCATAGCTGTATTCGTGCACAGCTTGAAAGCTACTCTCTCCAGCCTGGAGAACCACTCTGAATGTGCAGCACCTGGAGCCTCTGAGTCTGTTTCTAGCAGAGACAAGGTGGATAGGCTCCTCTGTGTCTCTGTTTTTTGAGTGCCAGAATTGACACGCTAAACTCTAAGCCCACAGACCAAATAAAGAATAAATCTGCCTCGTGCTGAAAAATGCAAAGTGACACCTGCCTATTGTCACTGCGGATGTAAGGCCTGTTGTCCTTGGGAAAATGTGTCATAAATCCCGCATGAGGCCACAGAGGCGGATGCTTGTCACTTGCCTTCATAGGGCCTTTCAAAATTCAATGATGTTTTGAATCACAGTTTTTTAGAGCAGACATTCTAAAGCCCAGAGGAAGTTTGGCTTGTCAATTTCTCATGCAGCTAGCCTTTTGTAGGGGAGAGCAGCCAGGCTTTGCTTTAATACTCAGGAATCCTTTCTGTAGACTTTTCTAAGTTGCATAAAAACAAAACTGAGACAGCAAAGCATACCACTCATTACAAGTACACTTAGTGCTATGTGCAAAGAGAAATCCAGAAATGACATGCAAAGGCAGCTGAGACCCAGTAATTACCAAAACAGAATGAATGACACTCTTATGGGTTTTGCTAATTTTACTGATAAACCCTTGTTTGATTAACTCCTTTTCCAGCTAAATATAGTAAAATGCTCACACAGAGGTGCTATTTGACTAGAAGAGAATCCTCTCTTAAAGCAGAATCCATCTTCTTAACCCAGGGCCAAAATAATCAAACAAACAGAGAGCAGACAGGCCTATAGGTCCCTTCAGCACTGACTCTGGCTCAAAGGCTGACTACAAAGCACAGGAAATTCTCTGAATGCAGAGGGCCCAGGGGTCATTTTTGGTTGATTTGTTAGAAACAGCATTAGCCCCCAACAAGGTGTGGTTTTGGGGGGATGGATAATAGGATTGATAGGATGATAATATGGTTTATTTTTTAAAAAAATTTATAGATATATATATATACATATATGTATATATTTATATATTTATTTATATATATACATATATGTGTATATATACACATATATTTAAATATAGATATGTATATATTTATATATACATATATAGATATGTATATATTTATATATACATATAATATATAAATATGTGTATATTTATAGATATACATATCTATATTTAAGTATATATAATATAAAATAGAGTTGTGGATTCCTTATGTTGCCCAGGCTGGTCTTGAACTCCTGGGCTCAAGCAATCTTCCTGACTCAGCCTCCCAAAGTGTTGGGATTCCAATGGCTCCCTGGTAATAAGTACTTCCTTGACACCAGAAATTTCTCTTTCAGAGAATGGATTCTCTTGTTATCCCCCATTCTCTCTGTCTCTTTCTCTCAACATAAGAGCTAGTCATCTTAATGGGGTGAAACAAGTCCGTAACATAATTCACAAACATGAGATTTTCTTCTTGAAATTACAGAGAATAGCAGCCTGGGAGCCCTCAAAAAAACAAAACAAAAAACAAAAAAAAAAACAACCCTTCTCATAGGAGAGTGAAAGGAGAAAAAAAGCAGCCATCAAATAAGTAAAATTTCTAGAAATTCTTTCTCTGTTTTAATCTTTCGCTTCCTAAACATATTCCTGGGGAGAGTTGGAGAGGAGGTATTGCTGATTTTCACTCTTCCCCCACATCCGAGGCATCAAGTGTCAGGTCCTATTCATTTGATTAAGGCAGCATCACAAGTTCATTCGTGAACAGCCTCAGGGGCTCACTGCCAGCATGTCAGTTGCTTGGCTGATTAATACTAACTGATGAGGTAACTTTTGGCCACAATCATCTTGGATTTGGATAGTCTCACAGCTAACAACAGGCCTCCTTCTCTAAAAACAATCAAACAAACATAGAAAGATTTCCTTTCCCTGAGCAAGGAAAACATCTAGTGTTCTTGAGTCTGTCTCACCTTGAAGATACATTTCCTCTCCTTCCGTGAACATCTGGTTGCATCTGCTGCATCGTGCACAGCTGGGGTGGTAATGTTTGTCACCTGCCTGCAAGAGAAAAGGTAGGGAAGGTTGAGTTTACTCCTTGTCATGGATTCCAGAATCTTTTCTGGATTTGAGGGTTTAGAAGAAAAGAGAAGATGCTGAAAAAGGAAAAATAACTGTCTAATTGACCAAATTTCCTACACAAACAGCCCTGGAAGCTAAAGCCAACTTCACTGAAACTGGGAGGGGCTCAAAGGCCAGCTACTCGTGCCTGCCTGGTGGGGCTGCCTTGCCTCTCAGTGTTTCTGGCTTCTATGTCTCTCTCCCAACCTGGATGGCAGCCAGTAACACACACACCTTAGGCCTGAGGTGAACCATTCCATCCCCACAAAACCCCACCTTGCTGGGGGCTAATGCTGTTTCTAACAAACCAACCAAAACTAATGACCCTTATATTTAGCAGGTTCTTGGTTTCTCAGCTAAACAATATGAAAATAATAAAATCAACCCCACTTGTGTCAAGTGAGAACAGCTATAGTAAAATACATCATCCACTGTTTTTATCTAAAAAAGAATCCAAAGAGTCTTCTATGTAGCTTGCAACAATCTTTTGCCAGTGGTTTACACGAAGAGTTTTCTGGAGAAGGCATTTTACTAAGGTGGCTGTGAATTATTCATGCGCATTTCACATTCCTGAATATCACAGATGCCATCACAGCAGGTGTTGACTTCCCCAAAGCAAAGTGTCACTGGACACAGGGACAATTTTCTAGACAGGTGCCAAGTCATATTAGAGTCATGTTCCAAATGCATGCCTGACAAGAACAAATCCTCTCATTCATAGTCTAGCAAAAAATCATCACCACCTAAAAACTCTCAGATATACTCTGTGATTAAATCATTTTCATCACTCCACCACCAAAAAAGTTCTTCTGCATTAACCATGTACAAGGCAGTGGCCGAGAAAGAGTTAAAAATGGCTGCATCCTGCATCAGAACCTGCATGAAACTGCAACAGGAAATCAGATGTCAGGTGGTAATTCCTTTCTCATACCTTCCTGTAGAAACTACAAGATCTGCTCAGCAACCAGAGCATGAGGTGGTGGTTAGCCACTCAAGATAATCAGGTGGAAAAAAAAAAGTTGAAGTTACTTAAAGTTAAGAATAAAAATCTTTTTAATAGTGCCTGCCAGAAAATTCCAGAAGTGGCACGCTTGTCCTTGTCCACATGCTACTTTTTATTTATTTGTAAAATATTTTACTTTTCTGCAGCAGGAAGGGTAGGTCTGGGGTGAGAGTGGTGAGAGAAGGCAGGAAATATCAACACAAAGTAGCTCCTGCCCATGGGACATCTGAAGTCAAATGTGAGCAGAAAGGAAGAAGAAAGAAGACATTACTCAATCCTAAGCGCTCAGTTCTAAACCAGGTTCGCTCAGCTAAGATGCCAGTGCTGGGAGGTCCAAGTTAGTCTGGGCAATCTCTGGACTCTCAAGGAAAATATTAAGTGAAAAAATAAAGGTCCTTTGACAAGAGCATGGTGTAGTCTGCAGCATACTGCTTGGTAAGCTACAAATAGAAAGAAATTTCTTCAAGCTGATAAAGTGTATTTATCATATTTAGTGGTAAAACCTTAGAATTCTCACTGAAAACAGGAACAAGACAAAGGTGTACACTTTTACCAATATGATTCTACATGGTTTTCCTTCTTGCCAATGTGATGTCAAGAAAAAGAAGTATAAAGATCATGAGTACAAAAATTGACTCATGTGGCTAGATAAAAGATTAATATATATAAAAACTATTATTTCCTATTCACTAGCAATAAAAATTAAGTAAATGTAATGGGAAAATGGGATCCCATTTGTAACAACTAATAAACCCTCCAATGCAAGATCTACATAAAGCAAATGATGGAACTTAATTGATGAACATAAAAGATCTAAATAGAAATGTATTATATTTCTAGATGGGGAATCTAAATATTGTAAAGATGCTGATTTATCAAATATGAACCTATTAATGCAACACATTCCCAGTCTAAATACCCACAGGAATTTTCTCTATAGACCTTGACAGGCTGCTTCTATAAGTTTACGTGACAGAATAAATGCTCACCCCAAAAATACATTTTTGTATGTGAAAGAGAACAGCAATAAGGAAGGATTTTCCCTTCCTGTCATAAAATTTTTTCTAAGTCTAAAATAATTAAAGTGCTTAAGTATGGGCGCGGGAGTAGAAAATAAGTCAACAGGACAGAAGAGCCAGATGCATAGCCATACATACGAGGGAATTCAGTTTATGATAAGGGTGATGCTTCAAATGAGCTGAAAGAAGGGATTATTCAATAACCAGAGGGGACAACTGGATCTTTGCTTAGAGAAACATAAATCTAGGTTCCTAAGTCACAACCTATACAAATATTAATTCCAGGCCAGGTATCGTAGCTCATGCCTCTAATCCCAGCCCTTTGGGAGGGCTAGGCAGCAGGCTCACTTGAGCCCAGGAGTTTAAATCTATCCTGACTGAGCAAAATAGTGAGACCCTGTCTCTATAAAAAAATGAAATTAGCCAGGCATGGTGACTTATGCCTGTAGTCACAGCTACTTGGAGGCTGAGGTAGGAGGATTGCTTGAGCCCAGGAGGCTGAGGCTGCAGTGAGCCAAGATCATGCCACTGCACTCCAGCCTGGGCGACAGAGCAAGACCCCATCTCAAAAACAAACCAAAACAAATAACAACATCAACAAAACCAGAAAACAACCCCAATAAAGAAGCACTGGATCACATGTAGCCATTAAAAGAATGATATAAACTCATAGCTACACACATGGAAAGAGTTCAAGCTAATAGAAAAAAATCAAGTGGAAAAATAATGCCTATAAAATAACCACATAAGCTAGTGGCCAAAGCTGTTGAGACACTGGGGCAAGTCTGACTGGATTCAAATCCAGTTCCAGTATTGTGTGACCTTGTGCCACAGGTGACAATCTCTCTAATCTTCAGCTTCCATGTCAATAAAATGGGTAGAAACAATTGAACTTACCCTCTGCTGTTGATGAGCGCACTATTAGGAACCTAGTATATTGCTTGGCACCATGTAAAGTGCTTGAAAAGCATAATTTTCTTCAACCTCCTCATCCATTTTGTAAGACAGGCACTCTTATGATTATTTATGTCAATGAGGACACACATGAATATGTATATTGATCTTATATGTGTGCCCTTCCTGGAGAGAAGACAGGGAGATGCACACCAACTAGAGGGCTGTGGTTACCTTTGGAGCAAGAGGTGAGACCTGGGAAGAAGTAAGGAAGGGAACCCTCACATTTTCCTTTGCTGTTATATCTTCTCAACCCTTTATAACAAGAATACATTTTCATGTTGCTGTGTAATAAAATAAAGACCAATAGGAAAAAGAGTCCTTTTTTTTTTTTGGATCCATGACACCTGAACTTGAGTGTTTAGCCCAGCCTATACTGGAAGTGGGATCTTAGGCAGATCACAAGCTCTTGGAACCTCTATTGTAAAGCAGAGATGATGATGGTGGTGGTGGTGATGGTGATGATGGTGGTGGTGGTGGTGATAATGATGATGATGGCGGTGGTGGTGGTAGTGATGGTGATGATGATGATGGTAGGTAGTGGTGGTGGTGATGGTGATGATGGTGGTGGTGGTGATGATAATGGTGATGATAATGATGATGATGGCAGTGGTGGTGGTAGTGATGGTGATGATGATGACGGTAGGTGGTGGTGGTGATGGTGATGATGGTGGTGGTGGTGATGATGATAATGATGGTGATGGTGGTGGTGGTGCTGGTGGGTGGTGAAGACTATGGTGACGATGGTGATGATGATAATGACGGTAGTGGTGGATGATGATGGTGAAGATGATGGTAATGATGGTGACAGTGATGACAATGATGAAGACAGTGATGATGATGGTAATGGTGATATCGCTGTGATGACAGTGATACTGCTGCTGCTGCTGATATTGATGGCAGTGCTGGTGATGATGTTATTGTGATTACTTTGTGTCAATTCCTCTTTTACCTACTCTATAAACATTTAGTCAATTTGTATCACAATCACCTAAGAATGCTGGAAGTATTATTATCCTTACTTTGTAAATGGGAAAACTGAGGCCTGGAGAGATTTTGTAACTCCTTTACAGTCACAGAACTGGTGGGACCAGGATGCAAACCCAGGCAGTTTGGCTCTGGAGTGAGTGTTCTTACCCAGTACCACCATTAATAACCATACAATATGTACTGCTGTAACTACCTCACAGTGATATTCATGTGATGACCAAAAGACATTTTGAAAATGGTGTGACACATTGCACAAAGTAATAATAATGATGACAGGAATAACAATGAAATAACTCTCTGCTCACAGTCCCAAGGTCATTCACAAAAAGAAGGCTCATTAGTGTGGTTTGGATGCTAGTAAAAGGCTTTGGTAAAAAATTAAATAACTGTTTATAGAGTACATAGAAGAGTAACTGACACAGAATAGTCACAATAACATCATCACCCTTTCCCAAGGGCAGGCGTAGGCAAGTCACTGTCTTCTGTCAACTCACAAGATGAATCGAAGTTACATCAAGGCCCATGTGGCAGGACTTTGCTCTATGAATCATTGGTAAAAACTCTGCTACATATACACCATGGAATACTATGCAGCTGTAAAAAGGAACAAGATCATGTCCGTGGCAGGGATATGGATGAACCTGAAAGCCATTATTCTCAGCAAACTAACACAGGAATAGAAAACCAAACACCGCATGTTCTCACTTACAAGTGGGAGCTGAACGATGAGAACATCTAGACACAGGGAGGGGAACAACACTTACTGGGGCCTGTAAGGGGAGGCGAGGGGGAGCATTAAGGAAAAGAGCTAAGGCATGCTATCATCTAGGTGGTGCAGCAAACCACCATGGCACCCATTTACCTATGTAACAAACCTACACATCCTGCACATGTACCCCAGAACTTAAAAAAAACAACCACAATGAAACAATTATATAAAAAGAAAACCCTGGTAAGAAACCTAACCCTAGCCC